CCACCCCGGCCGGCCACCGCCACCCCGGCCGGCCACCGCCACCCCGGGCTTCCTCTCCATCACTTGGGCTCTAAGGGAACGAAAGGCTTCTGTGTAGCCCGCTTTGGGACGGCCTGAGTCCCATATGCAGCGGCTGCATCCTTCCCAGCCCCCACTCCAGCCTGGGGCCCCCCGGACACCAAACGCTGACTCTGATTTCTCTGCGATCTTTGGCGAAGGCTGAAACAGCCTCACCCGCCGTCTGCCAAAGCACGCATTCATTGGAGCCTTTGTCTGCCTTCTGTAACTGATCTCACTCTGGATTGTAATCAGTATAATCAACCGATAAACCTTCATTAGGCCCCTGCCATGGGCCAGGCACTGTGCTGAGCGCTGAGGATACAAAGAGGCAAAAGACAGTTACTGCCCTCAAGGAGGATGGGTTTTTATTTTCTTTTAAAGCTAGCTTGTTCTCGATCTAAAATGATGACTGTTCTCCCGGATTTGTGGTGTTTGCATGTTCTTAATTAGGAACAAAGGGGTAATGAGGCACCCAAGGCTGATGCTAGACCTAGAGAGATGAAGAAGGGGCTTCTCTGTCTGAATGTTGGGAGGAGAGAATTACTCCCTCATCTCTCTCTCACACACACATCCATGCGCACACTGGAGCTCCAAATTTGTGAAAGAACCAGCCTCATAGCCTTGATTTGTTTTGATCAAGTTCCCCCAAAACAGAATTTAAACTGGTCTCTGGGTCAAATGATGCGGCAGTCCTTGGTAGACCACTGAAGGGACATGGGAGGAGCCAAAATATCCTTCACGGGTAGAGTCGGGAGCCAGGGGGATGATTGCTAAGTGCCTTCCCTGTTCCAGGAACACAAAAGTAGTGCTCAGTACAGGCACAAGCCAGCCCCCGCTCCCAAGGAGCTCCAGTCTAATGACGGACAACGTGTCAACAGCCCTGGACAAAGATATTGACAGAACCGAGGAGAGAGAGAACCCCAGAGGGAAGGCACTAGCTTTAGAGGGAGTGGGAAAGGTTTCCTGCATATGGTAGGACGTTATCTGGGACTTGAAGCAAGCTGATAAGAGAGATGAGAGAGGAAAGTCTTGCAGGCAGGGGACAACCAGAGAACACACCCAGAGCCAACAGATGGAATGTCTCCTGCATGAAACAGCCAGGAGCCAGTGTCTCTGGACCAGGTGTGGGAAGACTGGGGAGGTGGGAGAGGGTTGGTTTATGAAAGGCCTTGAATGCTAAACAAAGCATTTTGTGTTTGATCCTAGAGGTGACAGGGAGCTGACTGAGTAAGTCTTTTGACTGGGAGAGGAATGGTAAGGTTTGGGAAGAACACACGTTCTCACCTTGCAAAGGTAGGGGCCACAAAAGGGAATGCTGCCACTTCCTTTGTTCTGCACTTTCTATCTTAACCTTCCCCTCTGACCCTGGGCCAGGGGCAGAGTCAGTGTGTCAGAAGGGCAGCCAGAAGGAGCGCAGCTTAGCTCTTCCAACACACGCCGCCACAAACAAACATCTGAACGCCACAAACGTCTGAACGCCACAAACATCATCTGAACGCCACAAACGTCTGAATGCCACAAACATCATCTGAACGCCACAAACGTCTGAACGCCACAAACATCGTCTGAACACCACACGATCGTCTAGTGACCAGACCAAGCGCTGATCTGGAAATCTAAGAGAAAAAGAATGGCAGTGATCAATTGTCCGGCTCAGGTTGGCATAGGCAGACAGACCGAGGGGTCTGCAGACACTCACAATGCAGCCTGGCCAGGGGGCATCCCATGGAGCGTCCAGTGCCATGCACCAGAGCAGGAAGAGGCCCCTCAGGCTCTGAACCTGGACCACCTGGCAGCTGCGGCTCTCACCGCACAGTTCCAAGTCATGGATTCAGGGCAGGCCAGGAGGGGACCAGTGCTTAGGGGTGTCATTCCAGAGTGAGGAGTGGTCCAGGGCCTTCAGCTGTGTGCCGAGCCCAGGAGTAGAGCAGGGCCTCCATTCCAGCCTCCAGCCCAGTGAGAAGCCAACAAAGGGTCAAGCAGAGCAGGGGAGAGCCTGTAGCTCTCTTACCCTGAACTGGCAGAACTGTCCAGGGGGCTGATAATGGTGGAGTCCAGCAGCAGTCTACTGGTACCTCCTACAAGGGACCAGCCCACAGCAGTTTTGTTCAGACCAAGCCGTCAGAGCTTACAGAGCAAACCAGGAAGGCAGTGATCAGACTTTGCTCTGCATCTCCCAGTAGAGCCCTGAAAGCTTGCAGGTGCCAGCCTGGAATAACATGACACTCCGTACTTCAAAAAAACAGTAGAAGGATCCAAGAGGACAAAAGGCTAGCTCAGAATTCCCCCAGAAATGTGCAGGGCCAGGCTCTAACATCAAGTTCAAAGTCAGGAAACAGACTATAAAAAATGAGCAAAACAAAAAAGAATCTTATCCTAAAGAGCTCGGATGTTGGCAAACATGGTCAAGACAGAATGACTCCAGGTAGACTCAAAGCCTCAAGCAAAATGCCAATTAAGCATGTCAAATCATTATTCAGAGAGAGAGAGAGAGGAGAGACAGAGACAGAGACAGAGAGGAGAGAGAGAACAAAAGAGTTGTTTGTTTGTTTTAAAAGCTAGGGGGTAGCTAAATGGCACAGAGGATAGAGTACTGGCCTTGGATTCAGGAAGACCAGAGTTCAAATCTGGCCTCAGACACTTGACACTTACTAGCTGTGGGACTCTGGGCAAGTCACTTCACCCCATTGCCTTGCCAAAAAAAAAGAAAAAAAAAATCTAAAAATGATTTAAAAAAAAAATGAGAGCACCAGAAGGAAAACATGGAAAAAGAAATGAGAACTACGGAAGAAAGAATTGGGAAGCAAATTAATGGCTTGGAACAAGAGGAATAAAACATTACCCAGGGGAAAAAACTCCCTGAAAATTGGAATGGACCAAAGAAAAGCTCATGATTTCATGTAACATCAAGAAAATTAAAAACAAAGCCAAAAGACTGAAAAATTAGAAGAAAATATAAGGTATCTCATAGCAAAAACAACTGACTGGAAAACAAATTTAGAAAAAAGAATTTAAGAATAATTTGGCTATCTTAATGATATCACAAAAAAGTCTACATATCATATTTCAAGAAATCAAGAAAACTCCTAAATCTCTTAGAATCAGAGGACAAAGGGGAAATAGAAAGAATCCACTAGTCATCTTCTGAAAGAAATCCCCAAATGAAAATTTCCAGGAATATTATAGCCAAAAATCCAGACCTTCCACGTCAAAGAAAAAATATTGGAAGCAGTCATTAAAAAAAAGAAGAATTAAAAAACTGAGAAGTCACAGTCAGGATCCCATAGGATTTAGCAGCTATCACAATGAAGAAGAAGAGAGCTTAGAATATTTTATTCCAAAAGGCAAAGGAGCCGGACTTATAGCCAAGAGTAGCCAGCAAGACTGAATATAATCCAACAAGGGGGAAATGACTGTTTAACAAATTAGACATTTTTCATGAATTCCTGATAAGATCAGAGCTGCCTGTAAACTTTAACATCCATACTCAGGAGTCAAGAGAAGTATACAAAACCAAACATGAGTGAGCAATCACAAAAGACTACCCAAAGATAAAAAGTACACATTCTAATTAGGGTAGATGATACATTTATCCTTTCAGGACCATATGTCAGAGGTCTGGGAGTAGTTCTATGTTTTGATGACCTTAAAAGAAAAATGGGAAGGGAGGGGAAGAATAATACCTTTCCTCGAGTAGGAGAAAAGGAAGGGAAGATGAGGAACATTACCCCACATAATAGGGGTGCTCAAGTAGAAATCTATACTAATAAAAAGGAAGGAGTGGAGTGAATGGTACTTGAAACTTACCGTCATTTGAATAGTCAGAGGAGGGAAAAATACATACACACAGCTAGGTATAAGAAATACATTTCATTCAACAAGGAAACGAGGAAAAAAGGTTAAAAAAGTGGGAGGATAAGAGAAGGGCAGGTTCATAAGCAAAACAAAGAGGCAGGAAGGAAAAATATAAATGAATAAGATAAAAGAAAATAGAAAATTAACCATCATAACTGTGAATGTGAATGGAATGAACTCACCTATAAAACTGAAGATAGCAAAATGGATTAGAAACCAGAGTCTACTGTGTTATTCACAAGAAACACACTTGAAATAGAAAGAACATAGAGTTCAGATAAAGGGCTGGAGCAGAACCTGTTGTGCTTCAACAGAAATAAAAAAGGCAAGGGTAAGCAATCATAAGCTCAGATAAAGCAACAGCAAAAAATGGACCTAACTGGGGCAGCTAGGTGGCACAGTGGATAGAACACTGGCCCTGAAGTCAGGAGGACCCGAGTCCAAATCCTGGCCTCAGACCAAACACTTGACACTTACTAAATGTGTGATCCTGGGCAAGTCACTTAACCCCAATTGCCTTTAAAAAAAAAATAGAACTTTTAGGGGCAGCTAGGTGGTGCAGTGGATAGAACACTGGCTCTGGATTCAGGAGGACTTGAATTCAAATCTGGACTTAGACACATGACACTTACTAGCTATGTGACTCTGGCAAGTCACTGAACCCCATTGCCTAGCCACAAAAAAAAAATGGAGGGGGTAGAGATTCGATTTATCCCTTTCAGACCTAGATAAATCTAGCTGTGCATGGCACCTTCACAAAAAGTTGACCATGTATTAAAGGCATAAAAACATCACAAATTCAGAAAGCCAGAAATATTAAACATGTCTTTTACAGACCGTAGTGCAATAAAATTATATTCAATAAAGGACTCTTGAAGCAAAGATTAAAATTATTTGGAAATTAACTTAATCCTAAAGAATGGGTGGGCCAATTAACAATCATAATTTATATTTCATGAAAATTAATAACAAAATAGAGGTAACATCAAAATTCTTGGGTTGCAGACAAAGCAGTACTGTAGAAGAAAATTTATATATCTAAACATTTTCATCAATGAGAGACAGAGAGAGAAGGGAGAGAGAGAGAAATGGGGGGAGAGATAGGGAGACAGAGATCCAAGCTGGAGAGGGAAGGGAATTCGTGATGATTTTGCCAAAGAGACTGAGTAGTGGTTAGGCAGTTGGGAGGTTTGTGAAAAGAAGCATCATGGTGACGGGGAGAAAGAACTGGCTATGCCTAGAGGCCCGGTTCTCCTCAGACACCGGCAGCTGCCTCACACAGCTCCGTCATCTGTAAAATGAGACACTGGACTCAGTGACCTGTAAGATCTCTTCTCACTTTAACCTACCATCCTAGAAAAAGCCAGGGAGAGGAACCAGGGGCAGAGGGTGGTCAACAGTGTCCAGTGCTTTAGAGAGGTCAAGGTCAAGAAGGATGAGAACTGAGAAAAGGTCCCTGGGTTTAACCAAAAAGAGCCCCCTGGGGACTTTGGAGAGCGGTTCAGAAGGCAGATGACGAGCGGCTGAGAAGGCGAGTGTGAAAACGTGTTTCCAGGAGTTTGGCTGTGAAAAGGAAGGCAAGTTAGGGAAGAGAGCTTATGGCAGGGTCACATATTAAAGATGGAAGAGGTCTGAGCATGTATGTAGGTGGCAGGTAAGGCAGCAGTGGAAGTGAAGAAGTGGAAAATTAGGGAGAGAGAAGGGAGGCTGGAAGGAGCAAACAGAGAGAAAAGGGAGGAGTGGGGACCCATACGGCCTTGGCCAGGAGCAGGACCGGCCTTCTTCAGAGACTGGAGCGGAGGAGAGGGGGAAGACAGCTGATGCTGAGCGGGGCCCATAGACACGCCCTGTGAGACGCTGAAATGGGGAGAAGAGAGGGGCTCTCGGTGGACACCTCTGTTTTCTGGGGCAAGCACGAAGCAAGGTCCTCGGCTGAGAGGGGGATGGAAGCACTCATTGGGAGGATGGATGAGGGAGGAAGACGTTCACAATCGCCATCCTAGGTCTGTCCAGGGAGGCCTGCCCCCTTGCCCAGCCCCGATGCAGTCACTATGAAGGAGACTTGAGGCTGCGCTGTCCACGTGGGAGCCGTGTAAGAACACATCTTTCATTTGATCCGCGCTGCACTCCTGGGGGGTAGGTGCTCTTATCCCTGTAGGACAGGTGAGGACCCTGAGCTCAAGGGCCTGCCCAGGCTCCCCCAGCTAGTTCCAACCTTGGTCTCCCCCACCGCCTTCTGGCCATTGCACCAAGGAGCTGCATCTTTGGAACGTTGTAGCCGGGCCCCTCCAACTTTGCTTTCCCCAAAGCCCTGTTGCAGTGGATCCAATGTCCTCAGCTCCCTGGGCTGAGTGGTGCCTAACGCCTACAGGCACGCTTCCGGCTGCCTCTTTGGGCCACTCTGGGCTGGGAAAATTCAATCTTGCCTCCTTGGATTTCTCAGCCTTTACTTGTGTCACGGCTCCTTCTTCATCCTTGCTGGAAACCTAGTGCCTGTGAGAGAGCTGGGCTGTTCTGAGCCTGCTCCCACTGCCATCCTCTGAACCCTTTGAGGACACCAATGGGATATCTGAGCTGACCCTTGCTCTGGCACTATGACCAGGCCCTTTGCCCCTTCACCTGGAGGCTCTTTGCTAAGTCTTGCTTGTGAGTGGGTTTCATACACATTCAGACCTACCATGTGAGTCTAAGCCAGGGCTCTTTGGGTGACGCTTAACCGCAGTTCTTCAGAGACTAGAGTGTGCTGTGACTGATTGTCAGACAACTGGAGCATCTGTGGCGCCCATGCCCTTCACAGGCTTCCCAGGAGAGCTACCGCAGGTTTGTGGCACTCTGTGGGTACATCTCCACTTAAGAGTAATACTTCACGAGCCCCCACCGGGTACTTACTTATTCTCTAGTCAGACACAACTAATTCAAAGCAAAGCATGACATAGCATAGAAAGAAAAAAAAATTTCCCCAGCTTTCTGCTTTCCTTCTCATCTGGTTCCATTGTTTTCATTTGTATAAAATCTTTTTAATTTAATATAATCAAAATGATTCATTTTATATCTCCTAATGCTATTTCGTTTGGTCACAAATCCTTCCTTTCTCCATAGATCTGACAGGTAAACTATTCCATGCTCTCCTAATTTGTTTATGGTATTACCCTTTAAGTTTAAATCAGGTACCCATTTTGACCTTATCTTGCTATTCAGTATAAGCTGGTCTATACATGGATTCTGCCATACCATTTTCCAGTTTTCCCAGCAGTTTTTTTTTTTTTAATCAAAGAGTGAGTTCTTATCCCAGAAGCTAGGGTCTTTGGGTTTTTCAAACACTAGATTATTAAGTTCATTGACTACTGTATATTGTGTGCCTAATCTATTCCACTTATCTGCCACTTTATTTCTTAGCCAGGACCAGATTGTTTAGATGATTATTTGAGATCTAGTATGGCTAGGCCACCTTCCTTCACATTTTTTTTTCATTAATTCCTTTGATATTGTTGACCTTTTGTTCTTCCAGATGAATTTTGTTATGTATTGTTTTTTTCTAGCGCTATAAAATAATTGTTGGTAGTTTGATTGCTATGGTACTCAGTGAGTACATTAATTTAGGTAGGGTTGTCATTTTTACTATATTGGCTAGGCCTACTCACAAGCGGTTAGTATTTTTCCAATTGTTTATACCCGACTTTATTTGTGTGAGAAGTGTTTTATAATTGCGTTCATATAGTGTCTGCATTTATCTTGGCAGCTGGACTCCCAAGTAGTTTACATTTTCTGCAGTTATTTGGAATGGAATTTCTCTCTCTACCTCTTGCTGCTGGATCAGGCCTGCTTTTCCCTGAGCACATTGTTCCGTCAGGGGTCACTGGACGGGCTTCTTGCTGAGCGTGGCATCTGTCTTAGACTTGCTGCCCCCCAGGTATGCTTCTTTCACGGGCTCATGCCAGTTCAGCTTCAGTTGGCTAGGGTAGAGTAGCTAAAACCTCTTCCTGACTAAGGCAGACTGATGGCTCCTCAGACAGAGCAGGCATGTCCAGCTAGCAAAAGTCTGATAGCGAGAGCCCAGGCTAGGATGAGGTTTTTCTTTTTCAACCTCTTTGTCTGGCCAGAGATCAAAGCCCTCTGCTATAGAGAACTCCTCAGCCTAATGTTTAGAAATATTACTCGCTCTCTTAGCTGCAAATGAATCTGAGCCAGATCAAAAGGCAACGAGCCTTGGGAGGCTAGGCTGGTGCTGCCCAAGCCCCTGCCTGCATTGCTGTGGCTGTCCCTAACAGTGGGGCTCTCCTAACAAAGCAGACAGACAGTACGTTAGCCCCAGCATTTTGGCCCACAACATTCCTCATCTCCCCATTCAACAATTAATCATTGTCACAAACTCATTCCTAGTAAGCTAACATTCTTAGCTGCCTAGCGTGCCCAGATTATGTATGCCCACAATACCTTGCATACAGCAGCAGTATAAAAATGCTTCTTGAATTGAAATAAGAACAGGCTTTGACAGAGGGCATGTGAAGTTGGGGAAGGGGAGAAAAGAATTGACCGATAGGAAGGCCGGGTGTGCCAGAGACAAATGTGGGCACCTTCTCAGCTTGTCCAAGGGCCAGCCCTGCGTGGGGCGTTCAGCCCAGGGACGAGTGGAGCGGGAAGGTTGCCAGGCCTGCCTCCGGCCCAGCCCCCAACTCTCCTGGTGCAAGCAGTGACTCACAGGGGATGTCAACACCAACTGACTGACTCAGCACCACTCACTTCCCCAGGAGAGGCCCCCAGGGCTGGCCTGCTCCAGGCTCAGCTGGAGAAGTGGGAGCGGTTGCAGCTCAGCTAGCCAATTATTGATGGCACAGCTCCTGGCAGCAGAGCCCTGAGGTAGGCACTGGGGGAGACACAAGGCTCAGATCATTCCTCGGGTCTCCGTAACACTCGGGCGAGGCACCGGGTCCCCAGCCCCAGCACTGGGCCCTGTAGGAGAGATGATGCTCAGGCCCAGGACCCCGGCCTCAGCCCCCTCCCTCCCCGCAGGCTCACATAGGAATGCACCGCTCCCTCGAAGGGCAGCTAAGTCAGGTGGGGAGTTACTGATTCAGAGCAGAAGACAAAGTGACTGGGCCCCCTGCCCTCCATCAGGACTCCCACCTGCCAGGGCCCCTGCAAGGGGGCCTTCCCAGGCCCAGGCTTGGCAGATACTGGCTTCCTCCTCTCTTGTCTTACCCCGTGGGTGATAGCGCCCCCCTCCCCTCTTTGTCTTCCTCAGATCTGCCCCTGGCAGCTAGAGGCTATTGTTATCCCCACTTGACAGAGGGGGAAACTGAGGCACAGAGCAGGCCATGGCTCACCCACGTCTACCCAGCTAGTCAGGGGGAGGCAGCTCCAACACAGCTGGGTGGCTGCACCCAGCACTGGAGCCTCGGTGCCCCCTGGTGGCCCAGCCAGGGGATGCTGCACGACCTCTGCAGTTACTCCTGTAGTAACTGAGTCGGTTTCTTTACCTGCCTGCAGATGTAAAGAGCATCCGGGGTGTCTACACGAGGCTTGTTTTCTTGACAGGCTCGAAGGTGGGGAAAGCTGCCAGCTCTGTGCTCTGCCGAGCGCTGCTGTCTCCACAGAGCTGGCCTTCAGGTGCCCCACGCAGGATGGGGAGGGGGCGGCAGGAGGCTGGTCTCAGGTGGCGCACGGTCCTTTGTGGGACTTCCTCCGACACCACCAGCAGTTCAGGCTGGTGGGTCTCACGCCAGCTTGGCAGGCCAGACCAGCCCTCTGTGGAATGGCATCTCTTCCTCTCTCTCTGTCTCTCCTCTTTCTCTCTCTCTTCCCTTTCTGTCCATCTCTGTCTCTCCTCTTTCTCTGTCTGTCTCTCTCTCACACACACACCCCTCCCTCCCTCCTTTCCTCCCTCTTTCCCTCCTTCCCTCTCCCTTTCCCCTCCTCCTCTTTTCACCCCCTCTCCTCTTCCTTTCTCTCCCCACCCCTCCATCTCTGTCTCACATGTACACCTCTCCCTCTCTTCTTTCTCTCCTCTTTCTCCCTCCCTTCTTCCCTCTCTTCTCCCTCCCTCCTTCCTTCCTTTCCTCCCCCTTTTTCCTTCCCTCTCTGTCCCTTCCCCTCCTCTTTCTCCCCACCCCTCTTCTGTCTCTCCATGTACACCTCTCTCCCTCTCCTCTTTCTCTCTCCCTCCCTCCCCTTCCCTTCCTTTCTCCCTCTCTCTCCCCTCCTCCCTCTCCCTCTTTCCCTCTCTCCCCTCCCTCCTCCCTCACCTGCTGTCTTGAGAGCCACATCCTTTGGATATTTACTCCTCCAGAATTGAAGGCTGCTGATGTCAAGCCCCCTCCCCTGCTTTCTCCCATAGTTCCTCTAGGTATCCTGGACTTCCCCTCCCCTTTCTTGTGTAAATTCTGCTATAACTTTGTGAAATGCTATTGGGTATTCTTTTGGTGATTTGGTTAGCATAATATTAAATTTGCGTATATTAATTCGACGAGCATGGCTATTATATTGGCATGCCCTGCTTGCAGATGTGTACAGCCAGGTGGTGGATAGAGCGCTGGGCCTGGAATCAGGAAGACCTGAGTTCAAATGTGACCTCAGACACTTCATAGCTGTGTGACTCTGACCAAGTCACTTAACCCACTTGCCTCAGTTTCTTCACCTGTAAAAATGAGGGTAATAATAGCACCTCCCTCCCAGGGTTGTCGTGAAGCTCAAATGAGACAATGATTATAAAGTGCTTAGCACAGGGCCTGGCACGTAGTAGGTGCTATATGTTGTTCATTCAGTCGTGTCCAACCTTTTGTGACCCCGTGGACCAGACTGTCCATGGGGTTTTCTCGGCAGAGATACAGCAGCGGTTTGCCATTTCCTTCTCCAACTCATTTTACAGATAAGGAAACTGAGGCTGACAGGGTGAAATGACTTACCCAGGGACACACAACTCAGAAGCATCTGAGGCTGAATTTGAATTTAGGTCTTCCTGCCTCCAGGCCAGTGCTCTGTCCAGTGCTCTATTACTGGCCCCGTATATATGCTCACTGCTATTCTCACTATCTTTCACTCTCATTTAGGTCTCCCTGGATATCAGTGGAAATTATTGGGTAATCCTGTGTATATCTCGACAGCTTAGCTTCCAGATAGTGAGGATATTTTATTTTAAGGGGCATTTTTCTATTAATTATTCCTTGTGGGAGAAATCAAAGCTGTCAATAATGATAGGAAAAATGCTCTAAACCACGCATCATTAGAGAATTGCAATTAAAATAATTCTGAGCTCCCATCTTATACTTATCAGATGTAGAAAAACTGGAACACTCATGCACTGTTGGTGGAGTTGTGATCTGGTCCAACCATTCTGGAGAGCAATTTGGAACTATGCCCAAAGGGCTATAAAGCTGTGCATGCCCTTTGATCCAGCCATACTACTGCTAGATCTGTATCCCAAAGAAATCAAAAAGAGGAAAGGACCTATCTGTAAAAAAATTTTTTCTAGTACCTCTTTTTGTAGTGGTAAAGAATTGGAAATTGAGGGGATGCCCGTCAACAGGGGAATGGCTGAACAAATTGTGGTATATGAATGTAATGGAATACTATTGTGCGTAAGAAATAACGAGCAGGATAACTTCAGAAAAACCTGAAGAAGACTTGTATGAACAGATGCGAAGTGAAGTGAGCAGAACCAGGAGAACACCGTTCACAGTAACGGCACTACTGTACAATGAACCGTGAAGGGCTTGGCTGCTCTGATCCAGATGATGGTCTAAGACCATTCCAGAGGACCCAGCAGGAGAAATGCTATCCACCGCCACAGAGATCCGATGGATTCTGAGTGCAGAGCGAAGCAGTTTTTTTCCTTTATTTTTCTTGCTTCTCCCCCAGGTAATGTGGAAATGTTTTGCATGATTTCATATATATATATAATGGGCATTGTATTTCTTGCCTTCTCAATGGATAGGGGAGGTGCCGGAGGTAGAAAAAGAATTTGAAACTGAAAATAAATTTTTTTTAATTTAAAAAATATTCCTTGTGTTTGTTAGTAACATACAAAAATGCTAATAATTTTGTGGATTGTTTTGTATTCTACTGCTGTGCAGAAGGAATTGTTTTAGTTACTTTTTCATCGATTTTCTAGGCAAACTAGCCAATCACCCACAGGGACATTTGCCTCCTCCTTGCTAATACTTCCTCTAACTTTTTCTTGCCTCATCGCTAAAAAGAGTGGAAAGGACTACAGGAAATGAGCAGCCTCTGCCCTAGTTTGGAAGACCCGTCTTTACACAACTCACAGCGTGGCCGGGACCCCCTCGGAGATGTCAGTCCCTCTGCCAGGAGATGGGGCGCTGCCGAGATTCCCCTCCCCAGTTCTCCCTCGGGGCATAGATGCTTCTTTGGCTGGAGGCGGGGGCGGAGCTCAGCCCTCCGGCGTCCTGCCCACAGCCTGTGGCTCTGAGGCTTGGGGCTGGCTGCCACTGAGGGCTGCTGCAGTCCCCCCTACTTCTCTGGAGACTCCAATGAAAATCTCCAGGCCTGGAGGTCTCTCGAGGCCTAGCTCTTTCCTGCACCTTGTCATTGGAGCCAGAGTCTGCTGCTCTCAAGGCCCAGCAGGCCGGGCGCTGGCGGGCTCTGGGCTACACCGACTCTCTCAGAGCGTGTCTGTCCCACGAACAACGTGCGCTGCTGGGGTAAGAGAAGTGCCTTTCGGCACGCGGAGGACAGTCCTCTCATTCCCGTTTTTAATGTCTCTTTATAAAGAGACCGCGCGCTTCCTTTCCTCTAAACCTTTTATCTATTGCTACGCTCTGAGCGGTGGTTTCGGCCGCTCTCGTCTGGAACTATCCGGGACGCCTTGCCTAACTCGGGTGATGCAGTCGCCACGACTAACGAAGGTTTGGGGATGTTGCCGTGACCTCGTCGTCAAGATTTTGAGGGAATCTTTTTGCTTCAACATTCACCAGTGGTTGGCATCCTTAGTTTATTCCCTACTTCGTCCCTTCTTTTGGATTGGGCACAAGGACCACGTTCCTATCAAAGAAAAACTTGGACAGTCCAAAAGGCCTTCTTTGTTTTTGAAATATTTATGTAGCATAACTATCAGCTGGCTTTTAAGTGACCGATAAAATTCCTCTGTAAACATAGCCAGATCAGGAAGCTTCTCCCATGGGAAGTCACTTACGGCTTGCTAAATTTAGCTTTCCGAAATTGTATTATTTCGCTTATTTCCAGTTTTCTTAATGTTTAAAAATATGTTCATTGATTTCCTTTAGATTTGTAGCCTTGTTCGATTATAATTCAGCTCGATGATTTCTGAGTTTTTTTAATTTTCACCATTTGCTGTGAACACCTCCCTCCCCATTCTGATTTTATTAATTTGGTTTTCTTCCCTTTAAAAAAAATCAGGGGGCAACTAGGTGGCACAGTGGATAGAGCACCGGCCCTGAAGTCAGGAAGACCTGAATTCAAATCTGGCCTCAGACCAAAACACTTGACACTTAGTACTGTGTGACCTTGGGCAAGTCACTTAACCCCAATTGCCTCACTAAAAAAAATAAAAATAAAAATAAATCGAATTAGCGAGTGGCTTTTTACTTATGAGTCATCTTAAAAGTCAGCTTTCGTGTTATTAGTTCATTTGTTTTCTAAGAATTCTGTTACTCAGCTTTTTAATGCCCCAAATCTCTCCCTCTCTCTCTCCCCCTTTCTCTCTCACTCCCTCTTCCCCTCCCTCCTCTCCCCTCTCTCCTCCTCCCCTTCTTTCCTTCCCTCTCTGTCTCTCTCCCTCCCTCCCCTTCCCCCCTCTCCCCTCTCTCTCTCTCTCTCCCCCTCCTCTCTCTCTCTCTTTCTCTTCTCTGGTATGGGCTTTGGAATTATTCACAGTATTTCTAGCTTTAAAAAAAAAATTTACATTCAGTTCTTTTGCTCCTTTTCTCTTACGGCTACAGCTTTTCAGGGATGAAGATTTCTTTCTAAGGATTGCCTCAGTGGGCTACCTGGTGCTACCCTGCCTTTCACCGTGGTCTCCTGAGGTCATTCTTGGGGTGGGTGATTCAGCCTTTGACTCACTCCATGGTTGATGTTCTTTCAGTCTTTATTTTTTTCCTCCCATTTTTAAATTGATTGATTGATTGTGTGTGAGCAAAGGATGCATTTAGGATTTCTGCTTTTCTGCGTTTCTTTGAAGTTTTTTGGTGCTCTGGGAAGTCATCAATTTTGTATAAATCTCACGGAAGCATGAAAATATGTATATTCTCTATCGCTCCTGGTCAGAATTCTTCACAGTTATCGGTTTTGGGACATTTTTAAGCCTATAATTTCCTTTTTATCTTTCCTTTGGATTTATCTAGTTCTGACAGGAATGCTGTCACCCAGAAAATGGTATCTTACTCTTGAACCTTTCAGGTAAGAAGATGAGACTATGCATGCACATATGGAAGGGGCTGGGGGAAGAAAACGTTCTTTCTGGGTGCGTGTTTGTGGGGGTAAAAGTATCCCAGCACAAACGGAAAAGCCTTGGCCTCCAGTTAACGATGCCAGGCACAGACATGCTTTTGAAGCTCAGGTCAGGCTGCCCACCACACGACCGTGGGGAGCCATGGGAGACTGGGGGAAGGGAGGATGGGTGGCCAGAGAAGGGGAGTGGCCTGGGCACAGGAAAGGAGATGGAAGGGACAGCCCTGGCAGCCACCGTAAGAAACCTCTGGTGAACCGGGGAGCCAGTAATGCCCACCATGAGATGGGAAGGCAGGGGGGCTGCATAGTGCCCTTCACCCTGGAGGGAGGCACCGGAAATGAAATTGCTGTCCTTGTTTAATCTCTGGGAACAATGTCCAGAAACTGGTGAGGTTTTTACATAGGGATCAGACAATTCAGTTCACGCCGTCCTGAAAGAGGAAAACGAAGGAGGGAGCTAGAGTTACCTGACGCCTTTGCTCTCAGTGTCTACAGGGGCAGAGAAAGTGACCGATGGGTGGACAAGGCCCACAAGCCTTTAGCCCTGATGCCTTTGCTCTCAGTGTCTACAGGGGCAAGGAAAGTGACCGCGGGGCAGACAAGGCCCACAGGCCGTTAGCCATGATGCCTTTGCTCTCAGTGTCTACAGGGGCAGGGAAAGTGACCGCCGGGCAGACAAGGCCCACAGGCCTTTATCCCTGATGCCTTTGCTCTAAGTGTCTACAGGGGCAGGGAAAGTGACCGCGGGGCAGACAAGGCCCACAAGCCTTTAGCCCTGATGCCTTTGCTCTCAGTGTC